ACCCTTAAACACAGTTCTCCCCACCCTTGGCGATTTTAAATTGTGTGAATTCAAACCCCAAAAATCCCCCAGCCAGACTGGGGAATTCTGGGAGTTGAAGTCCACACATCTTAAAGTCGCTAAGGTTGAGGAACACTGTATTAGAGGATTGTTTTGCTTAGTTCAGGAATTTATTTTTAAACATGTGTCTTTACTATATAACACAGAGACATACTACAATTATATCTACTCAAGGGAGGACAATACAGTATCCACCTTACTAAGCTGTCAGCCAAGCCATTTCCCACAATCTCATACATTTTCAATTGCTCTTTGCTAAAACTGCCTCTTTGATCAAATTCTGTTTACTACATCACAAAGTAGTAGATGAAGAATACTTGCACTATTAAAAAGACAGTATGTCTTCTGTAAAAGGTGGTTTCCTCGATTCCATCATGAGTTGAAAAGCATTTTTCCCAGCAGATATCAAAAAGTGTAGTTGTTTGTCTTAGCTATTATTATGAATTCCATTCTGCATGTTATAGAAAATCATCACTGTATAAAATTATAGCCTACTGGTTGTATTATTGGAATAGTAAAATGCAGATGAAGCTGAGATTATTAATTAAAAAATAAAGAGGATTTTATATCAGATGGTATTCAGATAACTGTTAATACTTACTCTCAGGAGCTATAGATAATTTGGGATAGGTTTCTATAGTTGGTTCACATTATTTCTCCAGTAAGGTATAAAACAATTGCATGTTTCAGTCTTCCTAAATGATAAAGTATAAGCATAAACTCTTAAAGCTAGCTATGAAATTAATATAAGAAAACAAAAAATGTACATGTATCAAAGGCTAGTTCTGATGCCTCAAAATTTGTTTTTTATTTTGTATTTTTTATTCTCTATTCAAACTTGATGAAAGCTTGAATTTACTATTTCTTCAATAACGCTAGGATTTTATATAACAAAAAACCAAATTAGCTACTTCCCATTAATCACAATTCATTTGCCACTCATTCATGCATGATAAAGTGTATACAAAACTATTTTAATGACCAGTTTAATGACCATTTAATACATTTTAAATGGTTAAATTTGCATGTTAACATTGGTCAAAAGATCTTGTCAGCGTAGGTTTCACTGAGCATTATATTGTGTCATTAAATTAACATTTTAAACACTATCAGGTCTATACATATTCACATTAAAAATATTTGACATTTTTTTTCAAAATTTAGAGTTTTTCAAACAATTTTTCAAAACTAAATACTGAAAACAGATTTTTCTTTGCAGCTCAAATCTTTAAAATTCAAATATTTAACATTTATTATAAAAGGAGACTCAGTTCTTTTGTGCAAAATTTAAGTATGTAAGTCTTTTCAAAGTAACTTCTTACTAAAGTTGAATAAAGGAGAGGGAGTATCATTGGTCTGTTGTTACACTGGGCTTGGTCGTTCAGACTCTGATATGAAATCATGCTGCAAGGATCCAACTTGAACCATGAAACTGTTATTTATATATCCCCAGTCATAGGATTCAGGAGAGAAGCTAGAAGACAAAAATAATGAACTTTGTAAAAATGTGAAAGTTAAAACAGTGTTTAGAGTTATGCAATTTTGTAAAGTTCTTTGGATGCACTTGACTACATACTAGGTTTTGAGGAACTGTGTAGACCTATTTGCTTCAGTCCTGTTCTTGGAATAAATTCCAAGTGCATCTGACTAGACATTTGCTGTGACTTGGCCTAAATTTTATACATAGCTGTTAATCCAGGTCACTAAGACTTCCACTTTAACAATCCTCAATTACATCCTGAAACTCAACTAGAGTAGAGTTTTCATTTATACATAAGGCATTTTGATTAAACAAAGAAGGAACAGTGTCAAAGGCAATTCTATTTATTGATGATATATGTTTGCAACATCCATGACCTATTAGGTTGGTTGTCTTCTCAGCTCTTTGTGTAGAATGATTCTAGTACTGTATAATTTATTGATGGAGAATGTCAAAAAACCCCTAAGATTTCCCTGTAACATACACAAACAAGGCTAAGGTTACATAGACCTGAGTAAAATATACTGTGTTATATATAATATGCTATGGTAATGGACTGTAAGGTATACATGATTATTGTGAACAAAATATTAGTTTGTGTCACAAGGATGTTCTCTAATTGTTTAACTGATTAGTCCACTCTTAATGGAATTTTTAAGAATGTGGTTGCAGTTTCACCTATTCATACTAGTCAAAACACTACATGCAGACTTTTTTTTTTTTTTGCATTTTTCTAGGACCTTGAAGCCCATTGTGAAGTTCTGCCATTCTTTTATACATGATCTTTACACATATGTTTGCCCCACCTGCCATATATGCTGTGTGGTGATATGCTCCATGCCAAATCATCATCACTGTCATATCTGCGAGGATTGTCAAAGAAATAAGATCTTGGATTAAACGCATGAGTTGGTACTATTCCTGGATTTGTCTGGAGAAAAAAAGAAAAGTTATTTATAATTGCAGCTATTTGTTGTGGAGGTTTGTCCTTTGGTTTCTTTTAAAAAGAAAAATGTAGACACTTTGAATTATAGAGTTGGAATAGGCCATTTAGGCCAGGGTTTCTCAACCTCAGCCTCCCCATGCTGGCTGGGGAATTCTGGGAGTTCAAGTCCACCCATCTTGAAGTTGCTGAGGTAGAGGAAGCCTGATTTAGTCCACCAAGTCCAAGTTTATACTCCAGTGCTCAGTGCAGAAATCCAAATTGAAGCATCTTTGACAGATGGCTATTCTGTTTTCCTTTGAACATATTCAATGAAGGGGAGTCCACGACCACTCTGGATTATTGGTTCTATTGAACTGCTCTTACAATTAGGAAGTTTTCCCCCCCTAATATTCAGTTGAATTCTGCCTTTATGTAAGTTAAATCCATTATTTCATCCTGTACTCTGGATGACAGAGTACAGGCCTTGACCTTATATGTGACATCCTTTTTAGGTGTTTGAATAACACTATCATATCCCCACTTAGTGATTTTTTCTCAAGGCTAAGTATGCCCAGCTAACTCAATCTTTCTTCATACAACTTTATTTCTGGTCCCTTGTTTATCCTGGTTGCCCTTCTCTAAACATGGCTGTAGTTTTTCTGGATTTTTCTTCAAGTGTGGTACCTAGACCTGGATACAGAACTTGAGGTGGGGTCTTGCCAAAGGAGAATACAGTAGAACCATTAATTCCTGTGACTTGGAGTTTATACTTCTGTCAATGCAGAAGTATAAACCTAAAATTGCATTTCCCTTTTTTATAGGCATCTCACACAGCTGGCCTGCAATCAATTACTATTCCAAGATCTTTTTCACAAGTAGTGTTACCAAGCCTGTGCATCTAATTTTTGTTTCCTAAGTGATGATCTTTGCACTTGCCTTTGTTACATTTTATTCTGTTACTTTTAGCCTATAGTCTATCAAGACCATTTTGAATGGTATATCTGTCTTCTGGTATATTAGCTATCCTGTGGACATATGTTTTATCTGCAGATTTAATATGCATTCCCTCTGGTTCTTCATCCAAGTACAGTAATTAGTAAAAATAATGAAGACTAGAGGACCCAGGACTGGTTCTTGTGGCATTCCTTTTGATAACTCTCAGCAATATGATAAGAAACCATTGAGTATACTCTGAATATAATTTTCAAGCCAGCCCACTTGCTGTCATGCCATCCACCAAACACCAAACTGCCTTACTAACCAGCATGACATGTGGGACTTTATGAAATATTTTGCTGATGTTAAGATATGTTAACAATCTATTACAGAAGTTACACAGTCAAAAGCAAGATCAGATTGGTCTGGCGAGATTATTGAGAAATCTGTGTTTATTTCTGATAACTATCACATTCTAATAGAAGAGAATATATATAGCTCAGGGTTGAACTGTGGAGTCCTTGGTGCTCTCTGAGCTTGGTTGTCTGCTTGCAGACATTTCATTACCCGACTAGGTAACATCAGCTGATAATGTTACCTAGTCGGTAATGAGACATCTGCAAGCAAACAACCAAGCTCAGAACACCAAGGACTCCCCACTATCATATTGTTTTAAGGTTGTAGCATATAATCCCTTTAAGATCTGATCTACAGTTGTCCTAGTATCAGTATCAGACTGACTAGTTCATAGTTTGCTGAATCTTTCTTTTTTCTTTTCGAAGGCAGGAAGAGGGAGATAAGGAACTCTTGCTATTCTGCAGAGTACTTTTAAGATCCAGCAGGATTTTTTAGCTATGTCTAAACAACTGCAAGTAGCAAAGGGTTTAAGGGTACTGTGCATTATGTTTTACACATAAATTATCAACTTTCCTTTCTGACACAGAATATATTTTACGTGAATATCTTTGGAAGGAGCCTTTCCAATTTTTTCTTAGCAATTCAATTCTTTTGACTGTTGAATTGCTCAAATAAAAATTTCTACCAGTCAGTTTGAGGAATAAATATTCTGTTTCTCAATGAATTTTGAAGCAAACAGTAAGTCACTTTCCCTTTCTCTACTATCACAAAAATCAAGATGTTTTAGTCTTTCCTTATCTCATTTGTCATCAGATCTATCAATCACCCGCTGTTTGAATTCTGATGCCCCAAACTGAATATAGAACTTCAAATAAAAATCCACAACAGTGATTAGATCATGCATAATATCAATAAAATACTTGTACTATACTCCAAAATTACATATAGCATTATATCTGTTCAGTGACATTGAGGTATATTGGTTAGTCTAAGAATATCTTGTATTGCTTTTAGATGAAACTTTTGACTCAATGTACCTTTAGCTCTCTTTAGAGTATGGTGAGGTTTTTGTTTTCAGATAAAACTTGGAAAGATTTATGGGAATGGCAAGTTTAGATGCAATAATGAAAAAAAAACAGATTTTCTTTTATGCAGATAATTACTATTCTGTTAAGCTACTACTCCCTCTGGTGGCTTACTGTCAGAGTATCTAATGTTGCTGGCAAGAAAACTGGAGAATTTTCTGTTGACAGCTGGTTTTCTTGTAGTAATAAAACACTGTATGTTGAGGTTGTAAACAGATACATAATATCAACATATATTTATATATACATCCCTAATTTTTTTGTTTCTGACAAATCCTACAACTAAGATTGTGCCAGAGAGACTGTAGAAATAATATAAGGTAGTTAATTTCCAGGGAACAAGTTCACTAAGTGAGCAGGGAGAGCTAACAAAAGTTGGGAGTAGAGTTCAACTGGAGAAAGATACAAGGAAGAGATGTCAAAGAAACTATGCAGTGAACAATTGTATGCTCAGCTGTGAGAAGGAAAAAAATCTTTTGTATAGCTGCTAATTATAAAGAGTTTGCCTTGAGAATTGCTGATTATCCATTGTGGATGATTGAGTAATGCTTCCTGCTGAGTAAGCAGAGACTGATGAATATAAACAAACTAATGAACACAAGCTGAATGAATATAGAGGCTGATGAATATGAACAAGCAAACAAATGGAAAACTAATAGGAATTTTACAGAAGAGCTGTAAAAGAATTTTACAGTCCTTCTAACTGAAGCTGAAAATGAACAAAGTCTACTCCACAATTGACCAGCAATGCTTGTGACATGTTTGTATGCTTGCCAGAAAATAAAGTATACATATGCAGCAAATGCAAATTTACTACAGTGCTCAAGAAAAAAGTAGAGGATTAGAGCAGTGTTACTCCAACTCAGAAAAGATTAAATTTTCTTGGACCAAACAAGAGGCACTAAAGCAAGAATTGACATAGAAGGTGATATTCCAGAAGCAAGAGAATTGAAGGGGACCTTGCTGTGTGGACAACAGTGACACCCAGAAGTAAGACAGCAAGATGTTCTATGCTGTTAGAATTCAAGAAGATCTTTAAGGCCATCAGCAAGAAAGCTCTTAGCCTTCAATGGGAGACCATGATGAGCAACAGATGAGAGATAGGAGCACTTCAGAGCAGAGCAAATGGAACTGATACCTGCAAAAGGACAAAGAGGAGAATTGTAACAGTTGATGATTTGCTGTTACAAAGAACCAAAGGTAATGTGCACTAGATGGATCTGATGCCTTTTAAAATGTACTATTTTAGAGTCATAGAATCATAGGATTGGAGTCTTTCTAGTCCAACCCCAGATCTTCCAGAAGCACAGATTAGGAATGTAATGGTGCAGCTGCCAAACTCATCAAGCCCCTTCTTGCTCATTCATGTAGAAACAAACTATACTGCTATGAGTAACTCCAACTTCTTGGTCTGGTTCCCCCCCCCCTTTTTATTACTGTTACAAATCTTGATACATTATATTATTTCAACACAGTGATGTTTATATAATACAAAGATTATTGACATTCTATTATTTAGATAACTTAGAGTATTGAAAATAGAAAACATATTCTATCAATATTAATTACAATTTATCAATATTACAAGCATTAGAATTATTTGGCTTTTTCATTCAAAGTATATATCATTGAATAAAAACCCAGTGCAACTCACGTCATATACACACACATGCACACACATACATTAATGAAAGAAAAAAAATAGATGAACAGAGCAAATTTAACAAAAATTAAAATACCAAAAATTAGAAAAAGCGAGAAAAGGAAAAAAGAATTTTAAAAATGGTCTTTGAAGAAGCTGAAGAACCTGGGAGTGCATGTTTTCACTCATTCTTCCAGTCCATTAAAGAGAACTAGAAAGGAAGAGAAGGCAGAAGAAGCCAGTGTACCAAAAGCTTAATGAAAATTTGAAAATAAAAAATAAATATGTAGAAGGTGCAAACAGAGACAGATCACCAAGGAAGATGTAATGTCGGCTGCCTAGATTTTAGAGCTGATATCAGAAAAGTTAAAGTAATGGTAGTGATGGATACTAACCACAACAAAAAAGACTTGTTCAGATATATTCAAAAAAAGAGAAAAGAAATAGTACATCAACTGCTTATTGAAGATGGCAAATGGTAACAACAAAGAAAATGAAGAATTATTCAACTCCCATTTTGGCTCACTTTTCTCTGAGAAGAGCATGTGTGCTTCCCTAGGCAATTGTGAAGAATTGATTGAAGGAACATGATTCTAGCTTGAGTTTGATAGAAACATTGGCAGGCAGGAAATATTTACTGACCTCTGAATGCATTCAAATCTCCAGTGCTAGGTAGATTGAATCTTATATTACTGCAGGAAGTTCCTGATGGTCTGGCCAAACTTCTGTCAATTATCTTTAAGAAATACCAGATGACTGGAAGAGAACAAATTTCCCTTCTTCAAAAAAGGGAAAAAGGAATACCCAGAGGACTACAGACCAATCTGTCTGATATTGATACCTAGTAAGATTCTGGAGTAAAAATGATTAACTACCTTGAAAACAATACTGTGATTATTGAAAATCAGCATAGATTTGTCAAGAACCAAACTTTTCAGACTACTTTATTTCTTCATTGGGTAACTTCTTTAATAAATTTGGATTCCAACAAAGCATGACATTCCAATAAGCAAGCTACTTGAATGCGGACCTGATGGCATGATTATTTAATATGGTTTGTTGTTTGTAGATTATTGCAAGTCACTAAGAGTCTATGGATTTCACAGGGTAGGAGTGATGCAATAAAAAAACATCTGAGAGGACCATTTAAAAATATGTCATGACTGCAGTGATATTTTAAAGCAAGTGAAAAAGTGCTCACTCAGATTTTACAGCAGATAAGTAATTTGAATTTAAGAGAGTCATTTGCTTTAAAATAAGTAAGTATTAAGACATAAGTGTAACTTACTAGGTCTTTTGTAGGGTTTCGAACACGGAAGAAAAACACCACTAAGGAAGTGGGGAGAAGTTCCCACACAAACAGGATTATTCCAAATACTACATACCCAGCATCACCCAGCTGGCATTTCAGATCTGCCTGTTGCAAAATTAAAGGGAAAACTGTTTAAAATGGTCAACTATTAAATGTCTGTAAGCAGATAGTGAGATAAAACCTTATCTCATCTGAAAAGCAATTTTATGAGACTTCTGCAGCTTCCAAATCAGGATACTTCCCAAATTTTCTTGGCCTAAATAAACTAATATGCATCTATCTGAACTACCAATACTTATCACTGAGACTTTTCTGACCAGCACATTCTTCCTGTTAGAATATTTTGATCAGTGGATGCTTCCTCAACTGTATCTATACTGCAACCTGTATTAGAGATATATACCTAAGCAGAAGGATACATTGTGAAAACGTAGCTTCAAAGTGTTGAACTGTAGCCTGAATCAATTATGGATAAACTGATCTAGTTCAGAATCAGTCAGATTGACTGATATGGGTAATCCACATGTGAATCGCTTGAAAGCACGTCAGATTTTAAAATGTATTTAAGAAATAATAGGATTAACCTTTTCCACTACACAATCCCCTTCCCCTTAAATGTTAGCCCAGAATAGGAAAGGTTCCCATTGGCTCGTCTGACATCCTATAAAATTTTCATCGCAAAGCTAAATTGAATGAAATTTGTAAAATTAAACATTCTCCTTGGCTAAAGTATTACTGGCATATAATACTCCATTAAGGCTACAGTAAGCTTATAATTTAAACTCTGCCCATTATGGTTTCCTTGAAGTAAATCCAACTTTTTGCAAATGGCAAAGTGCTCTTAGCTTCCCTGGTTTTAACATACTCTGGACTATGATTGTTCACAGTCATGTATACAAATTTCCTACAAACCTCCAGTGAAGATTCCGTTCTCACCTATTATGAAAATGATGTTGGTAGCCTTATAATCAAAATTTCATTCTTGACTTACGTAGTTAAAAGACCTTGAGCTGGTTAACTGCAAAGATCTGTGAGCATGGAGGAAGGTTGCTTACTTTTACACCATTAAGTACAGGTACCTGAACAAACACTTTATTGTCAGAAGAAATTGCTATACAGTACTTGCCTGATCAGACACATTGTACCAATCATAATCAAAAGAGTTCATTGCTTTGCTGGGAGAAAATGATAAAATAACCAGGTTGTAACAGGCTCTTGAGGAATACAGTAGTATAACAGTTGCTCCTATTGTTGTTAGCTGACATACTGATGATCCCTAGAGAAGAGATTAAAACACAGTTGAGTATACTTGTCTATTGATCACTGAAATGTCAAACTTCTAGCTTGAGGGGGAAAGTGTTGCCAATTCTCAAGTCACTTTGGACCATCCTAGATATTGTGCTTTGTAACTCTGATGGATTCTGAAAAGTGCTGATACCTTACAATGTATTTCCTTGCAATGGAGAAAGTCACGTTTTCTGGGGGGCGGGGCAGGACAGAGGGGAGAGAGCAAAGAATGATTGACTATTTAATGTATCACACTGGAAAAAAATTAATTGCACCATAGTGGAAGGACAGAAAGAAGTTAACATACTTCAGAAAAAATGTTTAAGATTTGCAAATAATTCAGAGTATGATAGTCTGCTTTTTGTAAAGCAGGAGGATAGATTTGCTGGTATTAATTAATTTGCTAGTCAGGAATTACATAAGTTATTATGCATATCTGTTAGACACCAGGAAAATGTTCAGCGTCTGTTCTTTTAATGTAATTTATAAAATATAACAAATAATACTATCCAACAGGTAATCATTGCAGATGCAAAATCATATTCATAAAACAGTTGCAGTCACAGTAGAAGTACTAATAAGGTATGGATCAAGGCATAAAATAGCACTTTTCTAATAACAGGATACTACAATATGAAGGATAGGAAGATACAACTCCTTAAAGGGAAATTTATTTAATTAAAGACAACTAGCTCCTATATTATCACTGGATAGAAAAGTAACAATGAAGTTTCTAAAATAGAATTATCCAATGTTTGCTTCGAAAAGAAGTCAAGGAAAAAACAATAGCATTTTTGGTGTTAAAAGAGAGAGACCCTGATTCCATTCCAAGTAAGAATATAAGCAGTTCGCTTAATCAGATCAAAAACCTCTTTTGCCCACCTACTCTTTTATTAAATCCTCAATGATGGAAATGAGAAAGATAATCAGGTGGTCTCCAGTTTAGGAACAAGTTCCATTTCCAAGGTCTGTCCTTAAGTTGAATTTGTATGTAAGTAGTAATGTGTAATTAATTCAAACCATTGTGTATTTAACTTGAATTTTGCTACAATAGGCTCTGTTC